ATCATCATCATCATCATCATCAGCATCATCATCATCATCATCATCATCATCATCATCACCGTCGTCATCATCGTCATCATCATCAGCATCATCATCAACATCACCATCATCAGCCATCATTATCGTCGTCGTCATGATCATCGCGGCCGATCATCATCATCAGCATCATCATCAGCAGCATCAGCACCACCAGCATTACTATCACCAGCATCATCACCAGCATCACCATCATCAGCAGCAGCATCACCACCATCATCACTATCATCACCATCAGCACCACCATCATCATCACCATCATCATCACCATCATCATAGTCATCGTCAGCAGGATGATCATCATCATCATCATCATCAGCAGCAGCAGCATCATCATCATCATCATCATCAGCATCATCATCATCATCATCATCAGCATCATCATCATCATCATCATCATCATCATCATCATCATCATCATGATCATCATCATCATCATCATCATCATCATCATCAACATCAGCATCATCGTCATCGTCATCGTCATCGTCATCATCGTCATCATCATCCTCATCCTGATCAGGCTCCTCCTCCCCGTCCCCCCCCTCCTCCATCCTCCTTTTCATCCTCCTCTTCCTCCTCGTTCCTCCCCCACCTCCTCCTCCTCCTCGTCCTGCCGTTCCTCCTCCGCCTCGCCGTCCTCTCTCCTCCTCCCCCTCCTCCTCCCCATCATCATCATGACAATCATCATCACCAACACCATTATCATCATTATCATCATTATCATCATCAGCATCATAATCAGAATCAGCATCATCAACAGCATCATCATATCATCAGCATCTTCATCAGCATCATCACCAGCATCGGCATCGGCATCGTCATCGTCATCATCATCCTCATCATCATAATCATAGTCATCATCATCAGGATCATCATCACCATCATCATGATCATGATCATCATCATCATCAGCATCATCAGCATCACCATCATCACCATGAACATTGTGATTTATCTCTCCTGGTCAAACAACACTCTCTCGTTCTCTGCTTATTCTCATCCTTGACCCCGAATTCCACCAGCTCCTGGAATGCCCGCCATGTCAGAGCGAGAGCGCAAACATTGTGGGCCAGGGCACGGCTTGTACTGCGCAGACAGCGGGAGGCGACGAGGAGCGCATGCTGTTCACTCGCGGCCTCTTCTCTCACCTCGGATATGTCCATCTTAGGCTTGCAGCCGCAGGCACGGCGAGGCTCGCGTGGGTTGATGTGGATCGCCGACCTGGGAATGTTGAAATATCTACATGCTAATATCATGCGTGTGTGCGTGAATTTGCGTGTGTGCATTTAGGTGTATGTAGATGTATGTGTGCATGTAGGTATATGTATGTTGGCCAGCGTGGACCTCAAACAATATGTTTCTAGACACCTGTGGAATATAGTTGGTGCAATATATGTGGTGCAGCCCATGTCATACAACCTATGTTGTGCAATGTGTGGTGAAATGTATGTGGAGCAGCGTGTGCGGTACAACATATGTGGTCCGATATGTGGTTGTGATACACGTGTTGTGCAATCTATGTTGTGCAACTAATTTCTGTTCGCAATGAATTGTCCACTCCACTGCACGCGCAAACATCCCACCCACCCACCCACCCACCCACCCACCCACCCGCAACTTAAGACCGTGAAGGTGGGTACCAAATGGCACTTGGCAACGACAGCGACGCCGACCACGACAGCGACAACGACGACGACGACGCCGCCGACAACGACTACAACGACGCCAACAACGTCTCCGACGACTTCGACGACGCCGACACCGACAACAACAACGACGACGACACCGACGACGACGGCGACACCGACGCATACGACGACGACGACGACGACGATGACAACGACAACGACGATGACAACACCGACGACGACGACAACAACGACACCGACGACGACGACGTCAACGACGCCGACGACGACGCCACGACGACGGCAGCGACGACGACGACGCCGACATCGACGACGACGAAGACGACGACGACGCCGACGCCGACGATGAAGACGACGACGACGTCGCCAACGAAGACGACGACGAGGGAGGAGGGAGGACGACGACGGCGACAACGACGACAACGAAGACAACGGCGCCAACGACGAGGGAGGAGGGAGGACGGCGACGACGCGAACGACGAAGAAGGAGGAAGGACGGCGACGAGGATGATGATAACGACGAGGGAGGAGGGAAGACGATGATGATGATAACGACGAAACCTTGTGTCTTTGTAGGCTTTTTGGACACACGATTTTGAAATCCTTCCGAAACCGATGGGTTTTGAAGGATTTCGGCATACGCGCGCGACGACGCGCGCTTCTGCACTTCGTCCCATTTTTTGCAGAGGATTCTCGCGACGGCACACGCGCAAGGGCGTTCGACTGATTTCGACATGCGCGCGCGTGAAGCCCATTTGATAGCATGTTGTGAAAATCTTGAAAAACCTATGGTTTTCTTAAGATTTCGCAAGAGCTCGCGAGTAAGCCTTTTTAGTTAATCAGTGCTGCAAAACCCTGTGTTTTTGGGAAACTCGATTACGACATCCTTCCGACACCGAGGGTTTTAGAAGGATTTCGGAATGCGCGCGCGACGGCGCGCGCGTGTGCACTTCGTCCCATGTTTTGCAAGGGGTTTGTGAAAAAGTGTTATGTTAGATCAAAACATGTCATCGCATAGTGTTTTTTACAAGGGAACCTCAGGGGGGGGAACCCGGCTGGCCTGGGACATTGTGATTTCATATTTAGGATGGACATGTGGTCAGACTCATATATGACCTACATCTCCGATGGGGAGTGATAACTCCAAGGGGGGGGTAGAGTCTATTCGAAGGAGGATCTATGTGGTCCAGCCTTAGCGCCGCGCCCGTTGTTCTCAAAAGTATGCAACAGTTTCAAACATGGAAAGCGGTTCCTGTTTAAGCTTTGGCCCTCGCTTTCGCGCCGCGCACACTCGTCGTGAAATGTTACAACTGTTTCAAGGAATCGTATGGTTGAATTCGTAGGAGCTGTGTCCTGGCACTACTTAGGATTGTCAGGACGCGACAACATCGTCGAGTCGCAGTGTTGAAGTCCCAGGAATGGCGTTCTGGAGCGATTGAGGATTGCGAGGACGCAACTGTCACATTGATTCGCGGCCCTGAACTCCCAGAAACTGTGTGTTGGCACGATTGAGGGTTCTCAAGCGGTTGTCCTCCAATGGGACCCTTCCCGCAATGAAACAAAAGAGGAAGCTCGGAGGGGGATTGTGGCAGCATCGTTGATGCGTCTTGGGTTTACCCTGTTCCTCCTCCTCCTCCTCTGCCTCCTCTTCCTCATCCTCCTCCTCCTCTGCCTCCTCTTCCTCATCCTTGTGCTGCTCTCCTCTGGCCTCTAACATGAGAAAGACCCGCGCGCCGCAGCAGGAGGCGAAGCGAGAGGACGGGGAAGAGAGAGAGAGGGAGAGGAAACGACAGGAGGGGAGGGAAATGTGAAGGGGCCCCAGGACACACAAATAAATACACACAAATAAAACGATTCCCCATAGGTTCCTATATTTTCTGGTTTTTGTCGTCCCCACCACATCCCATATTTTCCCATATTTTCTGGGGGATCGACGATTAATTGTGTCGGTGTGTTTTTCCCTACCTAGGCTCTGCCTAGAAGGGTTCTTACTCTCTTTGCTTAAAAGGCCGGGCAATGCTAACCGCCCCGGGCGGTTCCCCCAGTCCCCGCCCCGCGGTTCCCCCAGTCCCCTGGGAGCTGTAGCTTTAGCTTTAGCTTTAGCTTAGCTTTAGCTTAGCTTTAGCTTAGCTTTAGCTTAGCTTTAGCTTAGCTTTAGCTTAGCTTTAGCTTAGCTTAGCTTAGCTAGCTTAGCTTTAGCTTAGCTTTAGCTTAGCTTTAGCTTAGCTTAGCTTAGCTTCAGCTTAGCTTAGCTTAGCTTTAGCTTAGCTTTAGCTTAGCTTTAGCTTAGCTTTAGCTTAGCTTTTAGCTTAGCTTTAGCTTAGCTTAGCTTAGCTTAGCTTAGCTTAGCTTAGCTTAGCTTAGCTTAGCTTAGCTTTAGCTTAGCTTTAGCTTAGCTTTAGCTTAGCGTTAGCTTAGCTTAGCTTTAGCTTAGCTTTAGCTTAGCTTTAGCTTAGCTCTAGCTTAGCTTAGCTTCAGCTTAGCTTTAGCTTAGCTTTAGCTTAGCTTCAGCTTAGCTTTAGCTTAGCTTTAGCTTAGCTTTAGCTTAGCTTTAGCTTTAGCTTAGCTTCAGCTCAGTGTTAGCTTAGCTTCAGCTCAGTGTTAGCTTAGCTGTAGCTTAGCTTTAGCTTAATGTTAGCTTAGCTTTAGCTTAGCTCTAGCTTAGCTTTAGCTTAGCTTTAGCTTAGCTTTAGCTTAGCTTCAGCTTAGCTTCAGCTTAGCTTTAGCTTAGCTTCAGCTTAGCTTTAGCTTAGCTTTAGCTTAGCTTTCGCTTAGCTTCAGCTTAGCTTTAGCTTAGCTTTAGCTTAGTGTTAGCTTAGCTTTAGCTTAGCTTTAGCTTAGATTTAGCTTTAGCTGTAGCTTTAGCTTAGCTTTAGCTTAGCTTTAGCTTAGCTTTAGCTTAGTTTCAGCTTAGCTTCAGCTTAGCTTTCGCTTAGCTTTCGCTTAGCTTTAGCTTAGTGTTAGCTTAGCTTTAGCTTAGCTTTAGCTTAGCTTCAGCTTAGTTTTAACTTAGCTTTAGCTTAGCTTTAGCTTAGCTTTACTGTTATTACTAATGCTGCTTTCCTAGGGGCTCCAACTCCTAGGTAGGGTCGCACTGGGATAATTTTTTCCCTCCTGAAAATGGGGGGGGCAGGAAAGGGGGGAGGCGAGGGGAGGTGGGGATGGTGGAAGGGAAAAGGGGGGAGGAGGAGCAGGAGGAGGCGGCGGTGCGGGCGACGGCTCCGGCGCGCAGCCTCCCGCAGCCGCGGCGCCCACGGGCGAGACCGCCGGGGGGGAGGGGGCCCGACGAGCAGGAGAGCGCGGGAGCCGGGCCTGCGGAGCACCGTAGCCTGTGCCAGCACCTGCGGCGCCGGGGCCGGCTCCGGGAGGGCCCGCCGCTCCGGCGGGGCCCGGGTGGGCGCCGTACGCGCCCGGCTGCGGGCCGGGGGGGCCGTAGCCCGGCTGCCCGCCAGGGGCGGCGCCGGGCGGCGCCGCCCCGTAGCCGGCGGGCGGTGCGCCGTAGCCGGTCGGCGGTGCGCCGTAGCCTTTGGCGGGGCCGCGGAGGGGGGGGAGCAGGCCGCAGGATGCAGGGTGGAGGAGCGACCCAGGAGGTCGGAACAGTGCGGAGGGCCCAGACCTCCGACGCCCCGCTCTTTTCGAGACACGGGCCCCCGACCTCCCGACCACTTTTCCCTGGGACCGGTTTTTCGTCCCCAGTCGTTTTTCTTGGAGGGTCCCGAGGCCCGGCGAGGGCCTCGAGAGGCCGAAAGCCACGCAAAACCTCCGTGTCGATTTTTTCGAGAGGCCCGATGTCTGGGGACGGAGGGGGAGAGCGAAGGGAGGTCGAGATGCTGGAAATGCTAGGTGTGAGTGGCCACGGGAGTTGTGGATCTGGAGAGGGGCAGAGCCCGACGAGTTGGGCGGTTCGCCTAGATTTAAGTCGGCCGTGTCCCCCTACAGGGGGATTGTCGACGAAAAATGAAAAATACTCAAAAATACTTCAAAATGCTTCAAACAATACTCAAAAAATCGTCCCCAGACTTTTTTTTGACTATTTTTGAATATTCCCCCTGTAGAAGGACAGGCCCGACTTAAGCCTAGATGGGCCAGCTTCGACTACGTGCTTGGGTGGACCGCCAGAATGCGGAAAGCAGCGTGCGGCAATGCGAGCGAGATCGAGTGGAGGACGGAAGGAGGGCTGAGGGCGGAGGACGGATGGAGGTGGGAGGTGGGAGGGGGGAGGAAAAGGGCACGTAGAATGGGGAGAGCACCGACCTTGGCTTCTCTGCACCGTGACGCAAAAATCACGTCGGGGGGTTGTCGGCCAATCTCGGCCTCCTGGAGGCCCTCACCATGCTGCCAGGCGGTCAGAAAACGGCTCGGGATGGAAAGCCGTTCCATGGGAAGGGGTCGAGACCTCGGGGGGCCCACGCGGTGAAAACACACACACACACACACACACACACACACACGGCGTCGGGGGTCTGGGGAGGGCGACATTGACGGATGGGCGGACGCAGGATGCAGGATGCAGGACGTATGACGAATGGTGGACGCAGGAGGACGGAGGATGGGGAATGGGGGGGCAGGAGGGGAGGGGAACGGTAATGGGGGAGGAGAGGACGGCGACAGCGGAGACGAAGTTGAGAAGGGTCGAGGGTTGTCTTTCCCCTCTTCGGCCTGGTTGCGCCCCCATTCCAGGCTGCTGGTACGACGAAGGATGCCTTCTTTGCGCCCTCCACTCGACGGCACCTGCGCGCGGCGGAAGGCTGTGGCCGAGACACGAAAACCATCCCGCCCATCCTCCTTCTGCTGCTTCTCCTCCATCCCTTTCCCTTATAAACAAATTCTCCCTGTCGCACCCGAGACGTGTCGACCGGGCGGGCCGGGCGTTTCGCCTGAGGTGTCCTCACCACATGTGGGCCTCAAGCTTAAAAGCTAGCACGGGTTTCGCGGATGGAGATCGGTTCTTGTTGTAAGTGTGATTCTCGCCTTAGCGTGGCGCACATTCGTCTTGAAAGTTTGTATGAGTTCCACACATGCAGGGCATACTGTTTGAAAGTGGCTGTCGCCTTAGCGCCGCGCACAAACGGTTTGAGAGTTCACACCAGTTTCAAGGGTTCTTACCGCTGACGTCGCAACAATAATTTCCTGGCACGATGCAGGACTGTCAGGGCGCAACGGCCACGTTGATCGCAGTGTTAGTCCCAGGAATGGCGTTCTGGCACGATTCGTGATCGTCGGGGCGCAGCAATAACGTTGATTCGCTGTGTCGAAATCTCAGGAGCGGTGTTTTTGGTACTGTCCAGGATGTTCTAACGGCTGTCGTCCAACAGGGCACTTCCCTCAGTGAAAATAAACCCTTGTAGGAGCCGATCAAGAGGGAACGTGGAGTGAAGGTGTTTTGCAACATCGTTGATGGGACTTGGGTTTGGTTTGCACTGGCCCTCCTCTTCCTCCTCCTCTTCAGTCTCATCATCCTGGTCCTCGCCCTCCTCCTCCTCCTCCTCCTCCTCCTCCTCCTCCTGCTCCTCCCTCTCCTACTCCTCCTCCCCCTCCTTCCCATACCACTACTCATCATCATACTCTTCATTCGCATCATCACCGCCACCATCATCATTGTCAGCATCGCCATCAACATCATCATCATCATCATCATCATCATCATCATCATCATCATCAGCATCAGCATCAGCATCATCATCATCATCATCATCATCAACACCATCATCACTAGCCATCATTATCGTCGTCATCATGATCATCGCCGCCGATCATCATCATCATCATCGTCATCATCATCATCAGCAGCATCAGCATCAGCATCAGCATCAGCATCAGCATCAGCATCATCATCATCATCATCATCATCATCATCATCATCATCATCATCATCATCATCATCATCATCTTCAGCATCAGCATCAGCATCAGCAGCAGCAGCAGCATCATCATCATCATCATTTTCATCATCCTCTCCCTCCTCCTCCTTCACCTCCTTCTTCTTTTTCTCCTCCGAATCCCCCCCTGCTTACGTGATCCCTGGTGAATCCCACACCCAAGACTGAAGATCTGACATCGCTGGGGAGCCGCGATGCGAATGAGGAGCCCTGGGAGTGGGTGCTGATGCCCAGCCCACACTAACAAAAATAATGGGCATGGTACTGGTGGTCCCCCCACCACCCTGGCCCCTTCACCGTTATCGTCCTCCGCCCCCCCTCTAGGTTCTTTATAGCTTAGAGCTCTCTCCTGAATGACAAGCCCATGGGGCGCTCGCCCTTTCAAGCGGGGGTTTTCCGCAGCGAAGGCATGTGAACAAATATGCATGTAGGCGCTTATGCAAAAGGGGACTTGGGACAGGAGGGTGTATTGCAGTTTTTGTTTACATCCTGGGTCTACTCTGGTCCTACTCTTCCACCCACTCCCCTTTATCCTTCCCCACGTTCTCATTATCATCCCCTGTCCCCTCCTCGTCCTCCTTCTCCTTAGCCTGCCTTCTCTCCCCTCTGCCGTCCAGAAAAAATCCTCTCGTCGTCACCGAACGCGCTCGTATAAAGTTCTGGGTATTTCGCTTGCGTTCGCTCCTCTATGTCGGTCCTGCAATTTGCATGCTGAAACGAGCACACACATACATATATATATATATATCTATCTGTATATATAAATATATACTAGACCATCGCGCGCGCTTCGCGAGCGCTCAAGTTCTAGCTAGGATAATCGTCATCGTCATCATCGCCATCCTCATCACCATCATATCCGGCGTCATCGTCAGCGGCATCGTCATCATCACCATGACCATCACCATCATCACAATCGTCACCATCACCACCATCAGCAGCAACATCGTCATCACCATCGTCATCATCGCCATCGTCGTCATCATCGTCAATATCGTCACCTGAATTATCAACATAATCATCCTCATCATCGCCATCGTCATCATTATCGTCGTCGTCGTCGTCGTCATCGTCGTCATCGTTATCGTCATCATCATCGTCATCATCTTCATCATCCGCCCACTCCTGCATCACAAGCACCATAAACAGCATCGCCACCATTATTATCAGCATCGGCGTTATCATCCTGACCATCAGCAGCATCATCATAATGATCGTCAGCATCACCATCCTCAACGGCATCACCGTCATCGTCATCATGATCGTCAGCATCACCACCATCATCATCATCATCACCATCACTCACATCACGATCACCATCATCAACATCATCACCAGCATCACCAGCATCATCATTCCCACTGTCAACATCATCATCATAATCTTCTTCCTCATCATCATCATCATCATCATCATCATCATCATCATCATCATCATCATCATCATCATCATCATCATCATCATCATCATCATCATCATCGTCGTCGTCAACTTCATAATAGTCGTCATCATCGTCATCATTTTCGTCACCGTCGTCTCCGAAGCTCCCCCGCCGAACTCGAGGATATCTCCGCAGCGTCTTGCATGCCGCGTGAGCAGTATTGGGGATTTAGGTTGTGGGCCTGAGGCCGCCCTGCATAATCATCATTGTCATTATCACCAGCGTCTGGAAGCCTTGCGGGGCCCTTTCGGCGCCTTTTGGAGGCCTCTTGGAGCTTCCTGGGGGGCCTCTCGAAGCTTCTTGCGGACTCCTGGGGGCCTCTTGGGAGCTTCTGGTGGGCGAGGACTCGAAGTGTCAGTTCGTGTTCCCCATCTGGGGCTCCTCTTGGAGTGTTCTGGGAGCTCTTTTGGGTCGTCTTGGAAGCTTCCTGGGCCGTCTTGGGGCCCTCTTGGGCTGTCTCGGTGGTCTCTTGGGGGCCTCTGGGCTCATCTTGAGGCGATCTTTCGGGCCTCTTGGGCCGCCTTGGAGCGTCTGGAAACCGAACTGGGGAGAATGCCCAAACCCTTCAAACCCACTAAAAATCAGTGACAATTTCCTATTGGGCCCCTTCCGGGAGTGCTGTCGGAGACCTGCTGGGACGCTTTGGCAGCTTTTTAACCGTCTTGGAGTGCTCCCGGGCCGCTTCGGACCTCTCTTGGGCTGTCCTGAGGGCGTCCTGGAGCCATTTTAGAGGGTCCTAGGAGCGTCCTGGCGTCTCCGGCGGCGGGGTGACCACAGCCACTGGGCAAAGTGAGGCCCCCCCCTGGTCCAGGACCCCCTCCCCATTTTTTTACACACACACACATATATATATATATATAAATATACATACATACATACATACATACATACATACATACATACATACATACATACATACATACATACATACATACATACATACATACATACATACATACATACATACATACATACATACATACATACATACATACACATACATACATACATACATACATACATACATACATACATACATACATACATACATACATACATACATACATACATACATACATACATACATACATACATACATACATACATACATACATACATACATACATACATACATACATACATACATACATACATACATCATACATACATACATACATACATCATACATACATACATCATACATACATACATACATACATACATACATACATACATACATACATACATACATACACAGACATACATACCTACATGCATGCATACATACATACATACATACATACATACATACATACATACATGCATACATACATACATACATACATACATACATACATACATACATACATACATTACTATATATATATATATATATACAACATACGTAAAACATGTAGGATTGTGTACACAGGAGAAGGACAATCTATAGAAACATACGTACGTCGTCCAAGGCGCCTCGGAAGGCGCAGAATACTCCTCCAAGGCGCGGAATCATGTTCCCGGACCGCCTTCCGGGAACATGATGGGGACGACCTCCTGAGGGCCTCCAGTGGGCCTCTTGGGGGCCTCTCGGAGGCCTGTTGGGCTCTCCTCGAGGCGTCTTGGGGCACGCTCAGGGCCATTTTTGGGCATCTTGGGGGCCTCTGGGGGCCTCCGGGGAGGCTCTTGGGGGCCTCTTTGGGGCCTCTTGGGGCCTCGCGGGGCCCTCTTAAGGACCGCTGGACTCGCTTAAGCAGTCTTGAAGCCCTGTCGGGGCTCTCCTGGAACCGTTTCGGGCGGCTCCTGGGCCATCTTGGGGCTCTCCTGGGCCGTCTTGGGACGATTTTGGGGGTCTCTTGGGCCGTCTTGGGGCGGTCTTGGGGGCCTCTTCGGCCGTCTTGGACGGTTTTGGGAGACTCTTGGACGGTCTTGGAGCGTCGGAACCCCGAAAAAGCGAGAAGGCCAAACACCTCGAACAAAAAACTATAAAAATCAACGATTTTGGCTTGTCGGGGCTCTCAAGGCCTCTTGGGATGCCTTCGGGGCCTCATGGAACTCTCTTGGAACGTCTTCGGGCCTTCCTGGCCATTCCTGAGGCTACCTATGCGCGTCTTGGAGCGCTCGCGGGCCGTCTTGGGCGGTCTCGAACTGTTCCTGGCGGTCCCAGGGGCCCTCCGGGACGCTTCGGACGCTCCCGGGGGCGCCCTGCACCCCCCATGGAGATTACTGGCAGCGCCCCGGGCCGCCCCCGGGCCCTACTCCTATATATACATATATATTATATATATATATATATATATATATATATATATATATATATATATATATTATATATATATATATATATATAGCAACGACAGATTTCAACGACAAACAAGTATCGCCTGAGCGTCGTGCGCGTTCGTCTTCACAGC